GGTGGCCACTGGGTCAGGGGCAGTGACTGCTGGCTCTGGGTCAGCAGGCTTGGAGCTGGCACAGGCACTGTGGCCAGAGTCAACCCCTTTAAGGGCTCCGGGGAGGGAGGGGTGGCAGAGAAGTGTTCTTGTTTGAGGCTGGATAAATAGCTTTCTGTCTACAGCACTGTGCATCCCTGTGAGCTGGGGCTGCCACTTGCTTCAACAAAGCGTTGGGAGTTGTGTGTGTGTGTGTGTGTATTTAAAAAGGTTGATTCTTTTTGCCTTGCTATCACAGAAAATGCTTATCATGATGACAACAAGGCATTCGGAAGAAATGCGGTTTGGCTGTGTAGAAGCTAGTAAAGTTAATTCGAAATAACTGTTATTTCGAATTAACTTTGATGTGTAGACATACCCTCACTGTCCATCCCTGGGATTCTAGTACCCTTCTCAATAGCGCCAGATTTTGCCCAGTGTTTCTCAAAACCCAAAATAGTGGTAACCTAACTGTCTCTTGCCAGGCAGTATCAGGAATAAATCAATGGGGGAGCACAGCTCATCCATCTGATAAATAAATTGATATGAACCAGGACTGCTTTAACTTGAAACTGTTTTTAAAAAATTAGATCTGAAATGTGCAAGTGCAAACATACACACACACTGTTGCAGTAAGGCTAGAGCATTTCAAAACAAGTGTATTTACTTACAGTTAAGAAATGGTTTTGAGGAATCAGTGACCAGCCTCCCAATGGGCACTGCCTTCTAGCTAGCTGTTGGGGAGCTTAGCTGTCAAACTGTTGTCCAAAGAAAGCTTCCTCACACTGCTCCAAAGCACATTCTTTCACCTACTCTTTTATAACTAATTTCAAACAAACCACATAACCTACAGTAACACCTTGTGGATCACAATTCTCCTAATTTCCGCAAAACTACTTATTATCTCATATCAAAACATAACAATGTTCTGAGGCACTTAAAACACAGATTGCTTTTCACTCACTCTCTTCCATACTTGTTAACTTTCTGCCCCATCCACCCATTCTGATTAAAAACTGCAAGTATGAAACTGTCTGACCTTGCCTCATAAAGGCCTAAGATTTTTCCTAGCTATGTGATGTTTGGTTTTCAGCTGGCAGTGGCCAAACATACAAAGCTGTTGATTGTGGCATTATCAAATTCTGGGGTAACACTGTCAGAAAGAGTACATAGGATAAGATGGAATAGTGGCCCCATCTGGTAGCAACATTTCCTGTACTGCGTTAGGTGGTTGCAACCCCCAGTCTTGTAACTGCAAGAAGCAACTAAATTTCCACTTTAGCATGCCCAAGTGAGTGAGTGCCGAGGGCAGCAGCTATGATCTCTGTTGGTAAATAAGGATGGCTGCTAGTCTTCCAAATACATGAAGGGATGCACCTAATCTCCCAGCAGGCTGCACTCCCTCCCTTCCACATACATATTCTATTCCCTTTTCTTATGGGAGCAATAAGTGGTTTGCAAAAGATGACGCTGGAGAGAATGCTGAAAAGATCCTACTGAAATGGAACCAACCTTACAAATCGTGAGCCTATTTTCAGGCCCTATTCCACCCATGATTATCTCCTAATGGCAGCCTATCCATGACTCCTCGCAGTCTCTGCAGTGCCAATGCTACAGGAAGTTCCTCAGTCTCTCTCAGCCTGGCTTCCAAGTCAGACCGAGGTCCCTTGGTGTTGTCATTAATCCGCAATCTTTCCTGGATGGCTTTCATCCAGGCTTCTGCATTCTCCAGGCTCGCATCAAATTCATCCTGGGGCTGCTGAGTCATTGCATTAGAGGAAACTGAAAGGACAAAGAGACAAGGAATTAAAAACAAACAATTATCTTCTCAGGAAAATCTCTCTCAGTCTTAAAGAACAAGGAAGACAGGAATATGACTTTATTGATCTCTTTTGATTAACAGAATCAAAATCCCCAATTCACAGTAGTCCTAACTCTCTATGTGAGGCTCAACAGAAGTAGGTATGAAATAAAAGCTCAAAACCAAGAGCTTCTAAAATGAAAGTATACAAGGGAATAAGATGAAGTTGGTGACAGCCTTTTAAGCTTTGTGATTTGGGCTGAAATTCAAAAGGATAAGTTACCACATTTATTTGAAAGCCAAATTAGGTTAATTTGGTGCTTATGTAAAGTACCAGACTGGCCACCCTGGACACTAATGTCCTCTGTACTTTCACAAAAAAAGCATAGCACAGGCAGAGAGACTATAACTCATCCATCAACATGCCTCTCTCTAAGCTCCATTAGAGGTCAGCTTTACAAGGTACCGAGCACCTACCCTGACCTCACTAAGAACTAGAGTGTGCTTAACGTTAAATATGAAATTGTCTCAAAGAAGTTTGCCAGAACAAGGTAAGATGCTCAACAGCTTTCAGTTAATCCACTCTGAAACTTTTAAGGAGGCCAGCAGTCAGCGCAAGCAATGGTGATGGTTTTAGGATACGGACACCATACCTGTATGAAGCAGCTGACACAAATTACTGGTCAGTCATCAGATAAAACCATCTTTCAGTGACTATGCACTTGGGTGGATTGGAACCAAGGACTTACAGATAAAAAAGCTCTGCAAACCTGATCCAAGTGAACAATATAAAGAGACTACAGGTTGGACCTCCCTGGTCTGGCACCCTCAGGACCTGACTGGTCACAAATGAGGGATTTTTCCAGACCAAGGGGGGGAGGGCCATTTCAGGGACCCCCCCCATGACACCCCTCTCCCTGCTTCCTGTCTCTCCCTGCAGCCCACCTAAGCCACATGCCAGCTCCCAGCCCCTTCCCAACCGAGTGCTGGCTCCTGGTGCTCTCCCGCAGCCCTGCTGAGCTGCATGCCCCCTCCAACAGGCCAGCTGAGCCGCACACTAGCTCTCTGCCCCCCCTTTGCAGCCCAGCTGAGCCACCAACCGGCTCCTGGGCCCCCACCCCTCTGCAGCATGCCGGGATTCTCTGGTCCTGGAACTTCCAAGGTGATGCCAGACCACGGATGTTGCCGGATCAGAGAATCCCGGATTTTAGAGGTGCAACCTGTATTGGAGTTCACTGGGCTTTGGATCAAGCTATACACCCACTGCCAATGTCTGCAAGTCAATTTTTCCTTAATGAAAATGCCACACCTTTTTGTGAATGTCTTTCTTTAAGGGGCCAGAGACAGTTACTGAAACCTCATTTTTGCCACTGTTACTCTGACCAAGTAGTACTTTTCTCCGGAAGCGTTCCTGTTGATTTCCAAAGGGCAGCCCATGCACTCTGGTACAGGATGAACCTCTGTAAGCCGGGACTCCCTGGTCTGGGAACATCCATGATCCGGCAGGTCCATGGATGTTTGAGGACCAGAGTCGTGGTGGAGGGCGGGTGGCTGGGTTCTCTGAAGCTGGGCTGCCTGGCTCCCCACAGCTGGGCTACCAGGCACAACCCACCTGGGCTCCCCCGGAGGGGTCAGGAGCCCTGCATGCCAAAGTGGAGCTGCCCCGGAGGGGCCAAGAGCCCAGTGTGCAGGGAGCTGGGCTGACCAGCATAGCAGGGAAGGGGGTGGGAGGACCAGCAGGGCAGCGAGGCAGGTGGCACAGGGGAGCCAGCCAGGAGGCTGGCAGTCAGTCCAGGGCTAGGGGACCGGTAGCAGGAGGGCCCGATATGACCTCCCCTGGTCTGGCAAAATCCCTTATCCAGGACTGATCAGGTCCCGAGGGTTCAGGAGGACCAGGAAGGTTCAACCTCTACTATGCAACATGAGCAAGGGGAAGCAAAGTATGGCCCTTGGGGAATCCAGCCCAGGGTTACTGATAACATCTTAACATTGGAAGTCATCCTGAGCATTACCACTGGGGGAGGAGGGCAAGTGACTTGTGTATGTCCCCACCCACTACTTCTCTCTACCTCCCAGCTTTTCACTATCCTGTTGTGGTCCTCAAGGTGTGGTGGGAGGGCATGGACATTCTCACACACTTCACAGCTGCAGGATCACCTGATTCAGGGGCCAAATACGCTTTCCTCTGTGTCCATGGAAGGAGCTTATGATGAAGGGAGGCTTCATCCTAGGCAAGAGAGCACTACTGCTACTAGCCTCCACAGAGGGTTCTCTTGTGGAGGGCACAGGCCAGGGCTTCGTAAGAGCCCACAATGGCAAAGGCTGCCAGAGGAGATACTGACTTATTCAATTGCCAAGCCAGCCCGAACCCCATACATACTTGGTAGTAGTGGCAGCTAGGTCCACAATGAAACAGAGGACGTGGGCGAGTTGGGCTGCTACACTCTCATGCCTACTGGGCCTTGTTTGATATGCTTACCTAACTAGCAGACAAGGTTCACATAAGGACGGGGTGTACCGCTGCTCAGTGGAGGCGGCGGAAGGGTTGTGCGTGGGAAGGATTTGGCTTGCCTAGCAAGCCTCTAGGAAAGGAAATGGGTAGTCCTAGGTTGCACAAACCCTCCTATGATAGAATCAGAGTGAACTCATTCTCAAGGTGCAGGCCAAATGAGAAACCTGGCTTGGAGAATCAAACCTAATTTTCATAGAAACGGTTTAAGAAATATTAGGAAGCAACGCTGAGCAACAAATGGTCCTAGCTCACCAATGTTCTGCAAGCTATCCAAAGCACCTGGACACACATGAAGGAGGACATTTGGGCTCCAGTGATGACGGAGACACTCTCATGTTGCTCTGTATAGCTTAGTTGAGGGAAGAGCCAGAGGCACAGTTCTATAGACACTTTGGTTTGGTGAGGCTGGAATAGCCCCCCATCTGAGACCTAGAGACGTGACTTTTGGAACAATTTTTATATAAAGATTCTAATTTATTTGTGTATTAATTTATAAAATACATTGACTATTGAGAAACCTGCAACAGCATATGTGAGTAATAATTAATCATAAGGAATCAAGGTGTTACTAACAAGTGCTGAACAAAGCAGTCATGCCTGGAAGGATAGTAAAGGCAAAGGAGAGGAGAATATTCCAAGGCACTGAGAGGCAGACAGTCTATCTGGCTAACACAGGCCAGCTCCTCAAATGTATCCAGGGGTTATAAAAGCATTGACAGCTGAGTTTGAGCATTATGGTAAGTGCACAATCTTAGAGCGGTGTCAAAACTAGATTCATTTAGATGATCCACTTTTCCCATTCCTACTTTGCCCCTCCCCACAGCTCTGAGCTCATCACTTCCCCCGCCCCCAAAACCAGTTTATGGCATCCAGTTTAACTATCTTTCAAAAAGTTTTAACAGCTCTTATCGGTTATTGTGAGGTTTAATTAATTAGTATTTTTAAAGCACTACTGAGATCCTTCAAAGTTACTCTTCAAATGCAGTGTATTTTTGGCAATATTATCATTATGTTTCCCAATGCACATTCTTTCTCCTTGCAAAGCCATTCTGCTTTTTCTAACAACACATTTTTCGCAATCAATCCTTTTCTTAAACATACTTTTAAAGCAAACATTTAGAGTGCACTCACTTTTAAATGGTTCAGTATGTCTTGAATTCCTGTGTTCATGTACTGCTTGACTCACTTCCAGAACCAAGCTCTTTAACAAATAAAAAATTGGAGGAAAGAAAAGTGTTCCAGGAAATTTAAATCACTTGCCATTAAGGACAGTATTTTCCAATTATTGAAATACTTCAAGCTTTTTATAACTCTTTCCATTTGGAAAAGATCAGGGTTCTGGATTTGCACATGCAAAATGTTTTTAAAACAGAGCAGTGTGTCAAATTTTATACAAATGCACGAGTGTGGAAGTGACTGTGGTTCTGGGAATTGTTTTGTACTTGGGTTCTGGGGGCAATTTAATTGCTGCTCAGATGCCCTGGATATTGTTAGAAGAAAAAGAGAAAGAAAGAGAGAGAGACACAGAGTGTGTTAGTTGTATAGGAGCACAAGTATTTCGAAGTGGAGATGGAATTAGCATATACTACTGTGGAAGCAAAGCTTCAATCCCCATAATTCCAAATCTGAGAGTTTTTGGCATGCTAGTAAATTTACAGCTCCAAATCATGGTACTATTAGCACATACAGTTCTAGACTAGATTACTTCAGTGGGGCCGTGTCCACACTCAGGGGTTCTTTCGAAAAAAGTACCCTTTTTTCGAAAGAACTTCCCCTGCATCCAGACTCAAGCCGCGTTCTTTCGAAATTATTTCGAAAGAACGCGGCTTTTCTTTCGATGGCGGTAAACCTCGTTTCACGAGGAAGAACGCCTTCCTTCGAAAGTTCCTCTTTCGAAGGAAGGCGTTCTTCAATGTAAAGAGGCCGTCTTCGAAAGAGAGCATCCAGACTCGCTGGGTGCTCTCTTTCGAAAAAGCGGATTTCCTCTATCGAAAGATCCGCCTGCAGTCTAGACACAGCCTGGGACTCACACTCACAGCAAAACTAAACTTGGTTCAGTTTGAGTAGATGGAAACCTCTTGAGATTATAGTCATCATTAGTTGTATTGCAAGCAATTGTTTAACCATTTGTTGGGTTTCAAGACATTAACACTTGAACATATCTCAAGACAGTTTTTTTCCTGTATAATTTGTGATGAATGTTTATGACCATCAAGAATTGTTTGTCCAAAGTAAGGTACTTAAGAATAAACATTCCAGATGTTCTTGGAAGAATCACTTCTATTTCCTGTTTGAAGTTAATAACTATAGCCAAGTGATTGTCATACAGGTGGCAGGGTGTAGATCATTGACTTGCAAAACAGCCATTTCCTTTCCTCTCCACAACAATATCCACTCACAAGGGAAACCCACAGCTACTTTACAAGCCCAACTGCCACCTACTGAGTGCCACTGAATATCAAAATGATAACAGTTTGTTGGATCTGTTCACCAATTCATAGTGAAGCTAATTCTTTCCAGCACACAGAAAGGTCAATGCTAGAAAATACGGTCATCTTAACTACATTGGCCAAGGGTTTGAAAAAGCCACACCTTGAGCAACAGAGTTAAGCTAACCAAAGCCTTCATGTGTAGACAGTGCTAGGTCAATGGAAGAATTGTTCAATTAACGTAGTAACTGCCTCTCACGATAGAGGTTTATCTAACTGATGGGAGTATCCCTCCTGTCATCATAGAGAGCAGCTATACTCAAGTACTGCAGCTGTGCTGCTGTCATGTTTTAAAAGTAGACACGTCCCTAAACTCCACTGGGAATAAAATATATATTTAATTAATAAAACTGGTACGTTTCACTTGGAAAAGAAATGACAAAGGTGGGTGACATGACAGAGGTCTATAAAATCATTACTAGCATGGAGAAAGTAGATAAAGGAAGTGTTATTTACTCATCCTCATAACACAAAAACTAGGGAGTCACCAGATGAAATAAATAGGCATCAATTTAAAAACAAACAAACAGAAGTATTTCTTCACACAATACACATTCAGTTTGCGCAACTCTTTGCCAGAGGATGCTATTAGCCAGGATGGGCAGGGGTGGTGTCTCTGTTTTGCCGGAAGCTGGGAATAAGCGACAGGGGATGGATCACTTGATGATGACTTGTTCTGTTCATTCCCTCTGGGGCATCTAGCACTGGCCACTATTAGAAGACAGGATACTGGGCTAGATGGACCTTTGCTCTGAAACAGTATACCCATTCTTATACACATTCCCTCACTTTATAAATCTACTTTTACACTCTCATAATTGCCAGTTATAAGAAGACGTTGGCAGAAGTAAGGACCAATAATTCTCCTCTGAAAGGAAGCTGGACTTGTAAGTAAATCAGAGCTGAGTTCTGGGGTTACTCCTCTTTTCACTTGCGGGGTGACAACCAGCAGAACTAGATTGAAGTTTCTAAAATTTTGACATTTTAAATCTTCAAAATTTCAAAGTTTTTAATTTTGAGGGGGAAAAAGATGCTTTTCTTTTTAATTGCAAAATCTCCCACTCCTCTTTATTCTGCCACGTCACTCTAGCAGACATTATCCTGCTGTAATTCAACCAGATCAGTAAAATGCCTGGGTAATTAAGGGCACTTTTAATTTGATTTATGACCAGTGAAACACTCGATAATATTTTTCTTATTTACATGTCCCCATCATCATAGGATCCAAGTCCCTCATATCTCTAATGTAATTAATTTCACAACATCCTTGAGAGGCAAGGCAGTACTATCATCTCCATTCAACAGATGGTGAATTTATTATAATATCTTCAGAAGGGTAGCCAAGTTAGACTGTAACTGGAAAAACTTAAAAAACAACAAATAATCTAGCAGCACCTTAAAGACAAACAAAACATGTAGATGGTATCGTGAGCTTTCGTGGGCACAACCCACTTCTTCAGATGGACTCATTCATCTGAAGAAGTGGGTTGTGTCCACGAAAGTTCATGATACCATCTACGTGTTTTGGTATAATATGTACTACAAACAGCCGCTAGGGGGAGCAGGCAGATAGTCAAATAACGAATCATTTGGCTATTCCAGGTGGTGGTGGGTTCATTACTGAAAACTGCTGGAAGTGTGGGTCTGTGGAACTATTGCAAAATTATATACTTGTTGCCTGAATAAACAGACAGTCAACACTCAAAGAAGCTGGAATGCATATAACTTACGACACAACAGTAGGGGGCACAGAAAGGCAAGGTGGCTTGCCCAAGTCACGCAAGAAGTCTATAGCAGGGCAGGGAGTTGACTACAGATCTCCTAAGTCCTAGACTAGTGCTCTCATCCCTGAACCATCCTTTCTCTAACAGGCTAGTAGGGAATCCTCAGAACTAAGCGAATCTTCTCCTTCTGCAGTTGCCAGTAAAAGTAGCCTACCTTCAACCTTCAGATTGTGAACTTGGTACCCCTCCTGGTGAAACAGTCCAGACTAGATTTCCAATTTCTGCTCAGCTCCCTAAATAAGAGGGACACCATCAGTCAGCCAGAGGAAAAGCATGGCAAGCCAAGAATACGAGAATCACAGCCCTGTGGCTGGGATTTATATAATTAATTAAAATTTCACCTGTCTGCTAAAGATTGGGGTGCTGACAATGCATGGTACTGACAATATTGATCAATAATGTTCTATAGTGAGTAGGTCTTAGCTGGGACAAACTTCAGGAACAATTTTTAGCAAATAATGTATTGATAAATTTCACCCCTTTCGATGGTCACACCTTGCACGGGACCAATCTATGATTTTCTCACATATATTTTTTTATTCAAAATTATTTTGCCAAATAAATTCTGCAATTTATTCTTGCTTGGCAGATTACTCTAACAGTTCATTGGGATCACCCAATACTCCAGGTGTACTGGATAGTTTTAATTAGACCCAAAGGTAAATATAGTAATCATGGTTTCTGCCCTGCCTCAATGAGAATAACTTTTACAATTAATTTATTACTATTTATTATTTGTATTACAGTAAGAACTAGCACTCCAGGATCCTACTGTGCTAAGCACTGTACAAACAGAACAAATTACACAGCATCCAACAATGAGCCTGGATGCTTTAGGGAAGAAGCACAATAAAATCCCTGCATTGAGGAGCCTACAGTTTAAGTGCCAGATCAGGTGGAACAAAGCAGCAAATCAAAGCTTGTTTAAGTATTAGAAATGTGAACCTATAACCATATAAATGGTTAATCTATAATCCAGGGTTTATGGGTTAACGTTCACAGGTATGGTAGCCAGCTGAACGTGGGCGGTACCCAGCTCTCCTCCAGCGGGCTGCAGGTGCATGTAACTGCTTGCACAATTACTTGCATTTTAACATCCCTAATGAGCAATGGGAATGAGAAATGATGGAGAGTGGAAGGGGCAACAAGGCTTACACAGACACAGATTACTTTGAATGTGTCCCGAGGATTCTAATATACACCTCACCGCTCGTCTTCCTCATTTGGAGTAGGGATATAAAATCTCATTTAATCAGTTAACCAGTTAAACATTTTATTTAACCAGTTAACCGCTTAAATGGGGGTGAAGGCCTGCTCGTGGCATGATAGGCTGTACTAGATGGAGTGCTCCCACTTGTGGTGCAGGCTGCTCTGGCCAGGCTGGGCCCACCGCAGGTAGGGGCTGCTTTGGCTGGACTGGAGCACTACCGCCCTCTAGCCTGCTGGTTAACTAACCGGTAAGCACCACCTGGTAAAGATGATGCTTACCAGTTAACCATTCACCTTCCTAATTTGGAGCCAGAACCACTCATCAGTAAAAGGAGCCAGACATTTTACAATCTAGAAATATGTCTGAGGCCACCAAATTTAGATCCTTTTCAGACCAAAATGTTCTCAAAGTCTGAGTGTTTAGAACTGGGGGGTGGAGGAGGAGGGGGTTTGCTTCAGACACATCTTTGAAAAGAATTGAGTTTGAAATGTAGATGCTAAATGCTTCAATCGGACTGGTGATGGGGAACACTTAGCACACAACTCTGAAATCAATGACCCTTGTAGGTAACCCTCAAGTACATATTTACAAATACTAAATGAATGTTCGGAACTTATATGCCAGACTTGATCCTTAATAGGATACCAATGCCCTTCTTCCCTCCTCCCCCCGCCCCGCAAAAGAGGAGAAAAAGGTATTTGTCTCCATTTTTGCAAATCTTAAAACACCCCTTATCTTCATGGAAATGAAACAGGCAAAAATTGCTATTGTTATTTTTTTAATTATTTTCACATTAAAATTAAAAATAGGTCTCTGGGAATGGCTGTCCCATGGAAGAGGGAGTTTGCAAACACAGCCGTATTCTAAACACTGCATTCAATGCTTAAAATAATCATGTGATCTCTAGAGGATCAAAGCTCATGATAATAAATATGTGAACATGCTTTTATTTATACCACACAGTGACGGTTTCTTATGAATAGCCTATAATTGCTCCAGGACCTAAAACGTTGGAACCCTTAAAAAAGCATGCTCTAAAGTAAATAAAGTTGCATCTACATAATCTAATCATTCGGACATTATTCATAACAATATCTGTATCGAGCTGATGCCAGGGCTGTCTGTGGCAAAAGTGGCATCGATTTGTGTTCAAACAAATCTAGAGTTAGCTAAAGCTTGCAGACATCCCAGATCTTGTATATTATTGAAGCTGACAAGCAACCTTATCCACAAGCTCTCTCTTCAGAAACTGAATAGCCCACTGCAAACTGTAAATTGCATCTAAATTGATTTTGAACAGTTAAGAACATTTCTGGAATTGAGTAAAACAGGCTCTCTTCCGGTGACTCATTTTTGCCTGAACTCTAGCAGTTTCCATAGCTTAGTCACCCTCCCACCATGCCTATATGCCAGGCACTGTGGGTCAGTAACAAAGCGAGCATATGCTTTCAATCCCAAAGACTATTCCCATTAGCCACTGGAGTTTGCTTTTATGCTCAGTTCTGCTAACACATTGTAACCTCAACAACACAATGTTCTGTTACTATGTAATCGGATACTTTTACAACCAGTGAATATGTTCTATATAACCAAAACAACATTATCTTTTTCAGTAGAGCATTGACTATGATTGTAAACCTAACCAATCTTGGTCCCACTGAAGGCACTGATTTGACCTAAAGTTGGGCCTAAAGTTCTGTGTCAACAGTTTCTTTCCATCGAAAATGTTCTGGGGGCTCTTTGGAGCTGGAGCTGTGATTACAGATTGCTGCTGCACCATGAAAGTGAAGCTAGCATTTAACACTTCCTACTCCACTATAATTCAGCTTTGCTAACCTTTTGAAAATGTAATAATTTATATATTAATAACTATACCTAGCATTTTCAGTCACGGCATCTAAATGAGTTACATCAGTGATGAACAACCTGCAACCCACATGTTGCCTATCAGGATTCTTTTATGTGTGGCCCACAACCAGGAGATATTTTGTTTACTGTTGCTTACATGCCGAGTTGCCAGATTCTGCGGGTTTCCATCTGTTATGTTTTATTCCTACTGGTATTACTAAAGTGACATACACATAAAGCAAAGGCACGTGAAGTGAATGCTGACTGCACGCAACATTGACTATGTCAGCTATGCGCGCCCTCTGCATCCCATCACAGTGCTGCTCTAGTTGAATTTACTCACCCCACAAATTCTAGGAACATAAGTGCTTTTAATAAAACTAACCTATCCCAGGAGACTGTCTTGGATACAACAATCTCGAGACCCATTTTGATGACGGAGGGCCATTCATGTAGCTCACTCGCTAGCTTAGGAGACCCATTTTGATGTTGGAGGGCCATTCATGTAGCTCACTCGCTAGCTTAGGTCATCCATTGTTAAGTTAGATGCTTAAATCCCATTGAATTTCAATGAGCATTGGGGCCCAGATTCTAATATTTAGGTGCCTTAACTCCCACTGAAATCGAAGATGATGTTAATGGGAATTAATATGTTTGAGGATTTGGGCCTATGTGCCTAATTTTCTTAGGTTCCTTTGAAAATCCCATGATAAATATCATGGTGCAGATCCTCAGCAGGTCCATTGAAGTTACCAGCTGAGGGAGCCCCCCCTCTCCTTCTCCCCCTCTCTCTCTATATATATATACACACACACACACACACACACAAAAACAATTTAGGTTGCTGAGTGATGATAATATTCACAAATCTCAAGCCCTTAAAAGGACATGGAGAATATCACAGATTTTATATATGTGTGTGTGTGCGCACACACGCACACACAACATAAATCATTTTTTTCTTTATTACAGTAGTGCATATTCTACCACAACATGACAATCTGAAATACACTAAAAATGTTAACAAATCTAATTAGAAAGAAAGTTGTAAGGTTTTCCTGCATCTCATCTGCATATGGGTCAGTAAAAGATGTTGCTCTGAGATCTGGCTTTGATCTAACTGGTCCTGAATTTTGCAGACACAAATTCATCTCTTGGTTCTGTCCACCTGGGATTATAATAAACTTGTAACTTGAAGGTCAGACACATAGCAAATTTAAGGAAAATTATCCACAGCTTCCAGGAGTTCCAATCTGGCCAGGATTGTCCTAGGTTTTAAAACTCAGTCACAACTACTATCCTAAGTCTATAGTGTTGCTGTGTCATGTCTTCCTGAACTGCAGCCTCATCTGGCTGTTCAGCAGCAATAAGTTGTTAGAATCATAGAGCTGTAAGAGATCTCAGAAGGTCATCAAGTCCAGCCCCCTGCTCTAGGCAGGACCAATCCCAACTAAATCACCCCAGCCAAGGCTTTGTCAAGCCGAGACTTAAACACCTCTAGGGATGGAGACTCCACTACTTCCCTAGGTAATCCATTCCAGTGCTTCACTACACTCCTAGTGAAATAGTTTTTCCTAATATCCAACCTGGACCTCTCCCACCACAAATAGAGACCATTGTTCCTTGTTCTGCCATCTGTCACTACTGAGAACAGCCTTTCTGCATCCTCTTTGGAACCTTCCTTCAGGAAGTTGAAGGCTGCTATCAAATCCCCCCTCACTCTTCGCTTCTGCAGACTAAACAGACCCAAGTCCCTCAGCCTCTCCTCATAGGTCATATGCTTCAGCCCCCCAATCATTTTGGTTGCCCACCGCTGGACCCTCTCCAATGCGTCCACATCCTTTTTGTAGTGGGGGAGGGGGACCCAGAACTGGACACAATACTCCAGATGTGGCCTCACCAAAGCCGAATAAAGGGGAATAATGACATCTCTGGATCTGCTGGCAATGCTCCTCTTAATGCAACCTAATATGCCATTAGCATTCTTGGCTACAAGGGCACACTGTTGACTCATATCCAGCTTCTCATCCACTGTAACCCCCAGGTCCTTTTCTTCAGAATTTCTATTTAACTGGTTGGTCCCCAGCTTGTAACTATACTTGGGATTCTTCCATCCCAAGTGAAGGACTCTGCACTTGTCCTTGTTGAACCTCATCAGATTTCTTATGGCCCAAT